AGATTTTGGGGGCCTTGTTCAAGTCTGGTCACAACCGCAATGGGGGCTCCTTCGAACCCTAAACCCTAAACCCTAAACCCTAAACCCTAAACCCCAAACCCTAAACCCCAAACCCCAAACCCCTAAACCCCTAAACCCCCAAACCCCTAAACCCCTAAACCCCCAAACCCCTAAATCCTAAACCCTAAGCCCTAAACCCTAAACCCTAAACCCTAAACCCTAAACCCTAAACCCTAAACCTAAACCCTAAACCCTAAACCCTAAACCCTAAACTAGGCCCTAAACCCTAAACCCTGAACCCTAACCCTAAACCCTAAGCCCTAGACCCTCTGAACTCTAAACCCTGAAGGGAGAGCAAGATGGAGAGTTCTGTGAATTGTGGTCCCTAATAATGTTGGACCCTCACCAAAATTTAGGGATCTGGCGGCCATGTGGGCCCCCTCTTTTTCGCGCTGAGGGGATTTTCAAAGGAGCCACTCCCCCCCCCCCCCCCTTTTAGGGTGTAGGGTTTAGGGTTTAGGCTGTAGGCTTTAGGGTTGTACTCCCCCCCACACAGCTCCTTCGGGAGGTGGTCTAGGTGCGAAGGACGCTCCTCAACCATGCAAGGGAGATCCTTCGCATCGTGCTCAATCCGTGGTCGCTGCTTGGGACTCAAGACGCTGTCCAGTTTGCATGCGAAACCCCCTCCTCCCCTGAAATATCTGACCCTCACAACAGTCTAAGCCCTGTGCATCGCAGAACCTCCTGAACCCTCCCCAAACCCGAAACGCGAAACCCGAAACCCGAAACCCTAAACCCTAAACCCTAAACCCTGAACCCTGACCCCCAAAACCCTAAACCTCGTGCTGGACTCAGCAATCCGTTGGCTCCCGAAGCCGCACCCGCCCGGCGACGCATGGCGCTGTACACTGCCCTGGCTGGCAAGCCGAAGGCCTGGCTTAGGGGTTTAGGGTTTAGGGTTTAGGGTTTAGGGTTTAGGGTTTAGGGTTTAGGGTTTAGGGTTTAGGGTTTAGGGGTTAGGGGTTTAGGGGGTTTAGGGGGTTTGGGGTTTAGGGTTTAGGGTTTGGGGTTTAGGGGTTTAGGGGTTTAGGGGTTTAGGGTTTGGGGTTTAGGGTTTGGGGTTCGGGGTTTAGGGTTTAGGGTTTGGTAACATGCAAGGTTCATCGTAGCCTTAAGCTGCGCTAGGGATGCCAGAGGTCCGGACATGATCCAAGGAGTGTTCCTTAAGAATCATGGGACACTAACTTGGACCCCTAAGTTTGCACCCTTAGGTTTGGGGACCCTTTTTCAATCTAAGGGTAGTTAGTGTCATTGGCCCTTAATTTGGTCCCTTACCTCCTTTAAAGGGTTCTGGCCCCTGGGTTGTATAAGGTATGAAAGGGGTATGTCAGGGGAGTGGTCTTGTCACACCATGCCAATCCCAGAAAGTTGGCCGCCTCTTTCCGGCAACGCCTCCTTGCCACTGTGGGGGGCAAGGAGGTTCATGGGACTTTGATCCGTCAAGGGGTCATCATCCCTAGTCCCTCGCTGAACCTGTGCCTCCCGATGACGGTCAATGGCGTAGTCCACAGCGGAGATTGGTGCTTCGCTTCAATTTAAGACCTTGAGCCGGAGAGGTGAACCCACCCAGATAAGGGGGGCCGGCGTTTTGGTGATGCGAATGCATACATCACCGGCCTTCTCTGGGCCTCCACGAACCATGTCACAAGCATTCCGCTGGAGTCCCATTTTCATGGCCCATACTAAGGGTTAAGGGACCATGAAACTACCCGTAGATGAAGTTTTCTCTAAAGACAACCCTAAACAACCCTAAACCCTAAACCCTCAACCCTCAACCCTAGACCCTAAACCCTAAGCCCTCAGCCCTCAGCCCGAAGCCCTAAACCCTAAACCCTAAACCCCCAACCCCTAAACCCTAAACCCTAAACCCTACACCCTAAAACCCTAAACCCTAGACTTCTAAACCCTAAACCCTAAACCCTAAACCCTAAACCCCTAAACCCTAAACCCTAAACCCTAAACCCTAAACCCTAGAACCTCTTAAGGGTGCATCCTCAGGTGTCCGAGACTTGACACCCTTGAAAGGGAGATCTGGGAGTGTCGCGTGTGTTCCGAGCTTCTTCTGACCGGCTCCGAGTACTTAGGGTTTAGGGTTTAGGGTTTAGGGTTTAGGGTTTAGGGTTTAGGGGTTTCGGGTTCAGAGTTTTGGACTTAGTGCTTTATGGGGTGGATGACGGTTTGGGGCAGGACGAAGAAACAGCTTAAACCTACCCCCCACCCCCCCACACACACACACCCTAAATTCCGAAAACCTACTTCATATATATACATATATATATATATGCACTGTTTTTATGGTTTTTTATAGTTCAGGGACATGGTGATTAAGCCCCTGGAAGTTTAGGGTATGACGGTAAATCCTTAAGCCTTAACCTAACAGCCCTAGAACCCTGCCCCGAACACCTCCAAAGCCTGAACCCCAAAGCCGAAACTTCCAAACCTAAACCCTAAACCCTAAACTCTAAACCCTAAACCCTAAACCCTAAACCCTAAACCCTAAATCCTAGACTTCTAAGGCCTAAACCCTAGGCAACTCTTTTCCCTCAGCCCTAAACCCTACACCCTAAAGCCCTAAACCCTAAACTTCTAAACCCTAAACCCTCAGCAACTCTGTTTCCCTCAGCCCTAAACCCGAAACCCTAAACCCTAAATTTCAGGCCTAGCGGCACGGGCCGGCCCCCGCCCCCCACAGCACGAAACCTTGAACCTTGGCACTGTCTTCTCTTTCCCGTGTCTTTGTCCTCTCCTTCTCTCTGTCTCTCTTTCTCCTGCCTTCGCCACCCCTCCCTCCCCCACCCCCCCCCCGCGCGCCGGCGCGCGCGCGCGCGCGCGCGCACCCGCATCAGGAGCATCAGTGGGGTTGGTTTGGGGGCCTTAAAAGCATTCTATGCATGCGTTTTGCCTTCGAAAAACCTTCAGAAAACGCTGTAAACACGTGTTTTTGGGCCTGGGAAGCCTTTTGGAACCCAGGAAAGGGAGCATCATGAGCATCAGCGGCCTCCCCCAGGCCATCCAAAACCCCCTTAAACACGCCGATTGTATGTGCTTGAACCCTTGCGTGCCCACGAAACCCCCAAAAGCAAGACCCCGAATGCCCTTAAGGGCATTTGGGGTCCTGCTGTTCGGGTGTTTTGTAGGCACGAAGCCGTTCGAGCGCGTAAAATGAGCGATTTTAGGGGCGTTTTTACGTGGACCCACAAAACACTCGGTATTTACGAGGTTTTCTGCTGTTGGAACCCCCCCCCAAACCGAGCATCATGAGCATCAGCTGGGTCTCTGGGCCGTGGGCCCGGACCCCCCCACGAAGCCCAAGAGAAGCGATGGCTCGATGATGCGCCCGGACCCCGCGCATCAGCAGCATCAGCAGACCCCCCCCCGGACGTGGGTTTCGATGATTCGCACTTTGGGGGCGGGTCAAGGGCAACAGGGGTGGGGGTCGGAGGCACGCGTGAAAAACCTCATAAAAACACGGTATTTACGGTGATTTCAGCGTTTTTCAGCGTTTTTTATTTCCTTGGGCCCGCGGGCCAGGGCTGCTGATGCTCATGATGCTCGCCTGGTTTTGGGCTTCCGGTACCCCCCCCAAACCTTGAAAAACGTGGTTTCGGCCTGGCACGCGCCCCATGTGAAAAGCTAGGGTCGATGATGCGCGCCTGTGAGGGTTTAATGGGGTGCTGCGGGTGTTTTGTGGCCTCGGTTTTTCGTAAAAAACCATGGTTTTTACGTGGTTTTCGTGCTTTTCGCACCACCGCGTGTTGCGTCCCCTTGGATGCCGTTTTGGAGGCCTCCCGAAGCGCCCCGCGCGAATTTGAAGCAATGTTGGGCGGGGTCGGCGGCTCGGGCGCTCGCCCCTTAAAGCTAGCGCTTTAGTGACGCGGGCTCCGCCCTGGACCACGGGCGGCGCGGGGGCCGGATTTAAGAGCCTCCGGCTCAAGCCGCCGACCCCGCCAGAGCTTAGTTGAAAGGTCTAAACCGGCTCAAAGGATGCTTTCCTCATCGCGTGGTTCGAAGAGCATCGCAGCCTGCTTGGCAAAATCCCAAAAGTTGTGAAACGCTCGCGCCTCTGTGAAACGTGGGGGGGGGGTAGGGGGTAGCACCAGGACCCAAACAGTTTAGGAGCTGAAGCACTTGGGGCAATTTGTTGAACAAAGGCCAGACCCAGCACCCGTGTTTGGGTGGGGGGGGGGTAGCAGGTGTGCTTTGGCCTGATTGATCCTTAAAGGGGGGGAAAGGTGGGGGGGGGGCAAGGGGGGTCGTGGGGGGGGGGTGGGGGGGGGTAAATAGGGGGGCTTTTGGTGTCCGCCCTCCCGGACAAAGCATGCCGGGGGGGTCCCCCCCCCCCCCCCCCCCCGCGTTTTGGGGGGGTAAAAAGGGAGGTTTTCACCTCCAGAAACCTATCCAACACGCCGCCAGAGTCGGCGGACCCTAAACCCCTAACCCCTAAACCCTAAACCCTAAACCCCCAAAGCCACAAGACCTCAAACTCGTTTGGACTCGAGGAGGAGCCCGCCCCTCCGCTGACCAAGGGCAAGGCCGCCTCGTAAGGTTTAGGGTTTAGGGTTTAGGGTTTCGGGTTTAGGGGTTTAGGGTTTCGGGTTTGGGGTTTAGGGTTTAGGGTTTCGGATTTCGGGTTTAGTATTAGGGTTTGGGGTTTAGGGTTTAGGGTTGGGAGGTCTAGTGGTCGTAGGGTAGGTCTTTTTTTTCTGCAACATTTAGGGTCTTTAGGGTTTAGGGCTCTCTCGGTCTACGTTGAGAAAAAGCAAGGCATGCCCCCGTCGTTCATCGATGGGCCAATGAAAGGAGTTCCGATCAGTTTCAGGGTCATTGAGACCAAATCCCGGTTGGCCTGTGTGCTATCGAACAGACGTCTTCCCTCCTCTACGACGGCGAACGGGAGTCAAGCGGAGTACGCCCAGACAAGGCGAGCTAGGGCCTCAGCAATGGCTCTGATGGGGGGATTTGTGTTCCCCGAGGAGGCGCGTGCCCTCTACAACTGCTTTACCTGCCCGCTGAACACCAACAAGGGGGGCGGCGACGACGAAGTGGTGGGGGAGATCGCGTCGCTGATCGGAGCTCTCTTCGACGCGGAGGCATCGACGACGATGATGCGAAGGGCGGAGATTGCTCATCGGCACGAAGCAATATCACACCTTAAACCCTGAAGGCTTTCGGACCGAGACTAGCAAGGCAGGACCCCCCAGCCCTCACACTCGCGCCACGTCGGGATGGGGGAAAGATCGCGTTCACCAGCACATGCACTACAAGCACAAAATCAGAAGCAGGAACCTGAGGAGGACGATGCCACTATAGCTGCAACAAAAACAGTAGCACTCACGAAGGCAGACTATGACACGCTGAAGGCCACAGTTTTGAAGCAGGATGCCAGATTGAACACTGTCGAGTGGAAATCCGCGAAAACAGCTTCGCTTCTGCATAGAGACCAAGAACTTGAGGCGTCAAAACACTTAAACCCTAAACCCTAAACCCTAAACCCTAAACCCTATGCCTTTCTTGCGTTTCCAAGTCGGAGGGCTTGCTGCGACCCAATGAAGCCCTAAACTCCGGGGTCCGAAGAATTATGAATACCATTCCCGTGTGGTCCCTTTCTGGGATTATTCACCTACAACTTAGAAGTAGCTACCGTTAGTTAGTAGGTAGAAACCACAAAACTGTAGGTAAAGAGGGTCCCAGGTACATATATTTACTAGAATCACCCCGCAGACCCCTATTAGAATTTATGAAGGCCTTTCTGTGGAATTATTTTCGGATTTGGGACTGCAGTGCTTTTGACTCGCGCTATCTTCCGAGTCTTTGCAGCCCCCCCGCCTCAAGAGAATGTGCTGAGCCAGGGTGTCCTATAGGAATTTTTTCATGTTGTACAAGATGGAAGGAAGCGTAAGCAGATATGTTAACTAAAGGCCACGGTTTTGGCGAACCACTATACACGATAGATAGGCCCCGATCCCTAAACCTGAACCCCTAGGCCCTCATCCAAAAAAACCCTACTCCCTGAACCGTAATCCCTAATTCCAAAACCTTAAACCCTAATCCCTAAACCCTAGTCCCTAAACCCTAGTCCCTAAACCCGAACCCTTAAATGATTCCAGAGTCTCTCATCATCTCCTAAAGTTCTTAAGGGAGGGGGGGGGGGGC